TTCCAGCCCCGACGGCCCGTACACGGACACGCCGTCGGGGCTGAAAGCCGACAGCTCGCTGACTCGTCGGGTCCGCGCTGTGTTTACGTCTTTTTTGCGCTGATTCTGAGCTGTTTTGTCTCTCGCCAACCAAAATTCACTGAACCAGCAGCAAAAGAAGATCAAACTACGCTCCACATTTGATAAACATCGTCATGAATTCCCTCTGAGCGTCGCTGTTTTGCTTCCACCACAATAAAACTCACACACACAGTTTCTCATCTCAAATCTGTTTTCTGTATTATTCATTCTCTTATTATTACACTGCGGTGTTCAGCAAAAACTTGGGTGCGCCTAACTTTTCTGCTGGTGCGGCACCAGTGCAACCGTGGCGAGCCGTTAGTCTAGAGCTCCGCCCCTTCAGTCATTCTCCTTTTGTCGTTACTTTGCTTCTTAAAGTCATTTTTCATCCCTTTATAATACCATAATAATGCCAATCGCTGAAATTAATACTGAAGCTTTTTGGGATTCTTTTAATGTTATTTGATGCTCTGCAGCTCGTCCACACGGGCTCTCGTGCATCCAGCAAACTGTTCATCAGATCGTTTTGGAAAGGACAGAAACGTACAGCTCGTTCTTTGGTCTCACAGCTGGCTTCAGATCCAGAGTGATTTTTGTTGTCAGACATTTCCTTCAAAGATGGAAGAGGAAGAGTCGTTGAGCAGACTTCCTGATCGTCTGTGTTTTGTGTCCTGTTCAGGTACAACGAGGCGAAGGAACTGGCCAAGAGCCTGGAGAAACAGGCCACCAAGGTTCAGACCAAGGCCGAGGAGGCCGGAAACAAAGCTTTGAAGCTCTTCGCTAACCTGACCAGCCTCCCGCAGATCGACACCAAGGCCCTGGAGGTGAGAGATGGACGCCGCAGTTTAATGTGAAACAGCAGAGGAAAAGTGTCGTAACTCACGTTTCTGTTTTCAGGAGGATGCCAATAAGATCAAGAAGGAGGCGGCGGACGTCGACAAGCTGATCGATAAGACGGAGAAGGAGTACAACGACCTCCGAGAAGACCTGAAGCCCAAAGAGCAGGAAGTGCGCAAACTGCTGGATAAAGGCAAAAGTGAACAGCAGGTGAGTTCAGGGCCTCTGGGAGCTTCTCAGGAGAAAAAAACGCAACACACAAAACTGTTTCCTCTTCCTGTGCAACAGACGGCCGATCAGCTGCTCGCTCGAGCCGACGCCGCCAAAGCTCTGGCCGAGGAGGCGGCGAAGAAGGGCCAGGCGACGTTTAAGGAGGCTCAGGACATCCTGGACAACCTCAGAGGTACCCGAGTGTC